AGGGAGTCACAGGTTACTGGAGCAGAGACTCACCAGCACAAACCACCTTGGTAAACAGTGCTTGGTAAGGAAAACCTGAAGTGTGATGGACAAAGTTTTAGAGGCTCTGATTGGACAAGCTGAGAGTTAAAAACACCAGATGACACAATCACAGGGAGCTCCAACTCTTTGGTAGATTTACCTCCAGAGGTTTATACAAATTCTCATAGTAAATGTTAAGTGAAAAATTTCCTTGTACTTCTATTTGTTTGACTATGCTACATTCCATATATAAATAAGATCATGTGGTATTTGCCTTTCTGTGTCTGGCTTATTTTATCTAGCATATTGTCCTCCAGGTCTATCCATCCTATCATAAGTGTTAGAATTTCTTTTGAGGCTGAATAATATTCCAGTGTGTGTGTGTGTGTGTGTGTGTGTGTGTGTGTGTGTGTGTGTACACCATATTTTTATCCTTTCATTCATCAATAGACATTTAGATTCTTTTTCTGTATCTTGATTTTTGTTAATAATGTTTTCTCAAACATGGGAGTGCATATATCTCTTCAGGATACAAATTTTAATTACTTTGATACATACCCAGAAGTGGGATTGCCAGATCAAATGACAATTTTTATTTTTTTGAAGAACATCTATATTGTTTTCCACAGTGGCTGTATTAATTTCCATTCTCATCACCAGTGTACAAGGGTTCCCTTTTCCCACATTTCACTTGTCTTTTTTGTTGTTGCTGTTTTTGATAGTAGCCATTCTAACAGGTATGTGTTGACAGTTCATTGTGGCTTTGATTTGCATTTCCTTGATGATTAGTGATGTTGAAAACCTTTTATATACTTGTTGGCCAGTTGGTTGTCTTTGGAGAATGTCTATTCAATTCCTTTATCCATATTTAAATGGGTTATTTGTTATTTTGCTTTTCAATTGAATGACTTTTCTTTATCTTTTAGATATTAACTAACCCCTCATCAAATACATAATCTGCAATCATTTTCTCTTTTTCCTAGGGTGTCTTTCAATTTGTCATTGTTTTGCTGTGCAGAAGCTTTTTAGTTTTCTGTAATTCCACTTGTTTATTTTTATTTTTCTTGCCTGTGCTGTTGGTGTCATATCAAAGAACTCATTGCCCAGTCCAATATCTAGAACCTTTTCTTCCTATATTATTCTAAGAGTATTATTGTTTCATGTTACATCTACTTAATCTATTGTGAGTTAATTTTTGTATATGTTGTGATGTAAAGAGTCAATTTCATTCTTTTTCATGTGTCTATTAAGTTTTTCTAATACCATGTGTTGAACAGCCTATCTCTCTTCCTCTCATCATGTGTTCTTGGCACCCTTATGGAAGAGCTATTGACCATATATGTGTGAGTTTATTTCTGGACTCTCTGTACTGTTCCATCAGTTTATATATCTGTCTTTCTGCTAGAACCATACTGTTTTGATTACTGTAACTTCATAATGTTTTAAAATCAGGGTCTGTGATACCTACAGCTTCATTCTTCTTGCTCAAAATTACTTTGGTTATTTCAGGTCTTTGGTGATTCCAAATACATTTTAGAATTAGTTTTTTAAATTTTTGTAAATAATGTTATTGGGAAACATGGGCATTTTTACAATATCAATCTTTCTAAGCCATGAATAGATGATGTACATTGATTTATTTGCTTCTTTAAAAATTGTTTAAATCAATGTTTTGTACTTTTCTGTGTACAAGTTGTTCACTACCTGCTTAAGCTTATCTCTAAGTATTTTATTCTTTACAATGTCATTTTGAATGGAATTCTTTTCTTTTTTTAAAATATTTTTTGGATAGGTCTTTGTTAATATATAAAACAAAAGTAATTTTGGTATGCTAATTTTGTTATCTTGTTACTTTACTGAATTTGCTTTTAAATTATAACATGTTTGTGTATGTATGTGAAGCCTTCAGAGTTTTCTATATATAAGGTTATTTCACCTGCAAACAAAAGTACTTTTACTTCTTTCTTTCTGATTTTGATGCTATTTATTCATTTTTGCCTCATGGTTCTGGTAAGTCTTCCAAGACTATGTTAAAAAGAAGAGGTGAGAGGGGACATTTTTACCTTTTTCTGGATCTTAAAGGGAATGCTTTTGGCTTTTCACCATTGAGAATGATGTCAGCTGTGGGATTTTCATAAATTACTTTTATTGTGTTGAAGTAACTTTCTTCTACATCTAATTTTTTGTAATTAGTAAAAACTAATTACATCTAGTTTTTATCATAAAAGGGTGTTAAATTTTTTTAAAATTTTTTTATATGTCTCAAGATGATCATGTGATCTTTATCCTTCATTTTGTTAATGTAGTGTGTAACATTTACTGATTTGAATATGTTGAACCATCCTTGAATTATGGTGATGAATCTTATTAGCTTATGGTGTATGATTTTTCTAATGTGTTATTGTATTCAATTTGCTTTTATTTGTATTTATTTTTATTTTCTTGGAGATTTTTGACTTCATATTCATCAAGGACATTGGCCTGTTGTTTCTCTTATTTTTATTTTTTTAATATATATTTTATTGATTATGCCGTTACAGTTATCCCATTTTTTTCTCCCCTTTATGCCCTTCTACCCTGCATAGCCCATCTCCCCAGCATTCAACCCTCCCTTAGTTCATGTCTATGCTTCTTACATATAAGTTCTTTGGCTTCTCCATTTCCTATACTATTCTTAACCTCCCTCAACCTATTTTGTACCTACTATTTATGCTGCTTATTCCCTATATATTTTCCCCCATTCTCCCCCCTCCCCTGATCTCCATTTCTGTGATTCTGTTCCTGTTCTAGTTGTTTGCTTAATTTCTTTTTGTTTTTTGTTCTTGTTCTTTAGGTTCAGTTGTTGATAGTTGTGAGTTTGTTGTCATTTTATTGTTCATAGTTTTTGATCTTCTTTTTCTTAGATAAGTCCCTTTAAAATTTCATATGATAAGGGCTTTGTGATGATGAACTCCTTTAACTTTACCTCATCTGGGAAGCCCTTTATCTGCCCTTCCATTCTAAATGGTAGCTTTGCTGGATAGAGTAATCTTGGATGTAGGTCCTTGTCTCTTGTGACTTTGAATACTTCTTGCCAGCCCCGGCTTGCGTGCAAGGTTTCTTTTGAGAAACCATCTGATAGTCTTATGGGAACTCCTTTGTAGGTAACTGTCTCCTTTTCTCTTGCTGCTTTTAAGATTCTCTCCTTATCTTTAATCTTGGGTGATGTAATTATGATGTACCTTGGTGTGTGCTTCCTTGGGTCCAACTTCTTTGGGACTCTCTGAGCTTCCTGGACTTCCTAGAAGTCTATTTCCTTGTTCAGATTGGAGAAGTTCTCCTTCATTATTTTTTCAAATAAGTTTTCAGTTTCTTGCTCTTCCTTTTCTCCTGGCAACCCTATAATTTGGATGCTGGAACATTTAAAGTTGTCCCAGAAGTTCCTAAGCTTCTCCTCATTTTTTTGAATTCTTGTTTCTTCATTCTGTTCTGGTTGAATGTTTACCTCTTCATCTTGCTCCCAATTGTTGATTTGAATCCTAGTTTTCTTCCCTTTATGGGTGGTTCCCTGTATATTTTTCTTTATTTCACTTTGCACAACCTTCACTTTTGTCCTTTATTTTGTGACCATGCTCAACTAACTCTGTGAGCATCCTGATTACCAGGGTTTTGAACTGTGCCTCTGATAGGTTGGCTATCTCTTCATCACTTAGTTCTATATTTGGAGTTTTGATCTGTTTTTTCATTTAAGTCATATTTCTTTGTCTCAGCACACCTGTTACATTGGAAGGGGCAGAGCCTTAGGTATTAGCCAGGGTGGAGCAACCCAGGTCTCTGTGTTGTGATGTTGTGTGTGGGGGAGGGGTTTGAGAGGGAACAATGCTGCTTGCTCGGCTCTCTGGGGGCTTTTAGTCACTTTCACCACTATCCACAAGCAAATTGGGCTCTTCTGGTGCTTATTCCCCAATAGGTGGGCTTGTGTACATTCTAGGATCCCTTGGGTCTCTCCAGTGGACTCCCCTGCGAGGCTAGGAGTTTTTCCCGCCACTGCAACCCCCACAAGGTTTTACCTTCAGAGGTTTTGAGGCTTTATCGTCCCACACTGGAACTCTGGATTGCATGGCCTGTCTCGCTCCCCTACTGTTTCTCATGGTTTATCTGCATGCAAATGTGGGACTACCTGGACCACCAGGTTGTATAAAAATTTTAACAATTTTTCTGTGTCTGTGTGGTTTACAGCATACAGGCCTAGTACTCAAGTGCCTTCTCCAGTGCTATCAAATTTTATGAATATAATCAGTTTTCATAAATTGCACATAAAAAGACACATTATAGTGTCAAATAACTTGCTTAAATCAGATATGCTTTTACATAGTAAATATTCATACTCATATGTACAAAATTTCAAAAGCTACAAGCTGAGACCTTATGCTGTGTATACATATCTCTTTATCTCTCTCAACTTATTATTAATGATTTATTTTCTAAAACATATTTTTAGCAATTTTCTCTTTCTGTGTGTCTCTCTCTGTATCTTTCCTATATGAGTCTCAGATTTTTTTATGTTCTGATCTGGATCTTCAACCTTTAACTTTTAGAACAAAGTAGTATTTGTTTGTGACCAGTAAAGAAATTATCATAGAGGCAAAACTGTAATAAACTGCTCCTATGTCACTTATTGTTTTATTTCTCTATTTTTTAATAATAAAATCCCCCATGACAAGATATACCAGTCATTTCTTCAGCCAAGGCTATGGCCAGGTATTCTAAGGGCTATTAGGTATGAGATGAACATGAAAATAAATCCCACAGTTGCTGTCACCGTCCTGGCAGGCTGACCACTCTGCCTCCAACTCAAAATGGGCAATGACGACATTATCGGTGCAAAGAAATGGCATACGAGCAACATGAGTTGTTAGACGTTACTGGCATAGCTATAAAGCCTCCATGGTCTGTGATAGGTACATGAATTCAAGCAGGGGAAGAAGTAAGCATTTGTCATGCAGCCTGTCATCTTAAAAGCTACTATTTTCCCGCCTTGGTGCACTCTCTCAGTGCCTCCTGCTACAGATCATAAGGGACTGGACCTTGCTAAGGTAGGTATGGTAATCGGGACCACATAATCATGTTATAATTATTGTGGTCTACTTTTCTGTATATGTGTTATATGTATGCACATTACTACATGGTATAAAGATAAATATATTAATATTACATAATACACCATTTTCTTCAGTCGCTGTTTATTTTTTAAATAAAAAAGGTAATAAAATTAATTACATCATTTTGGGCCCCCCCAAAAGTGATTTGTGCTTATATGCCTAATTAATAATTCATCCCCAGAGTTCATGTTTCACGATCTCTCCTTCTCTAGGATAGAAAGTAAACATACAGGTGTCTGAATTTCTGAGTCATTAGATAGTAAGGGATCAAGGAAAGGAATTCAAATGAACTAATAATATGGTATTTCTGTTGACAGAGAAATCTCTCAAACTGGCTGCTATACACTTTTCAATTCCCCAAGAAACTGAATTTGTTTCATAAATATTAAGCACCCCAAATACCTAAAATCCCTTATAACTCATCTTAGTCATGTATTTTATAACAGTTCAGAGAACAGGTAAAATATCCTGCTCATATTTAGCCCAGAAAAATATGGTAAATTAGGTAAATCTTAGTGCCCAGCCAAGATCACAATAAAAGCATGAAAATGTAATTTTATACAAAATGCAAAAATTTATCATAGGTTTATATCAAGTACTATCTAAAGAACTGTTGTGTAGGCCATGTTATATTAGACATGTAAATTGTTCTTAAAATACTTTCAGTTCAGGTTGAGTTCAAATACAGACAGAAAGCTTGACTATAATACAAGGTACTATTTCTTTTCTGGAAATTAAAATTCAGTACTCTAGGCTGGTTAAGAAAGTCAGTGAAGACAGGGAGTACATGATAAATGAGTTTTTAAAAAGTATTTTAATGGCATGCTATGTGTTAAATGCAAATGGACTGAGTATGCAGAATTAGGTAAATTATGTCTGAAGTGTTGCAGATCCTGTCCTAAGACTAATTAGAAAGCCCAGAGACCATCTGCCTCGGCAATTCTCGTCTAATACCTTCACAACCTTTATTCCTGGGCCTTTCTACCCTGAAATTTGGATGGTTTATTTTTAGAGATTTTTAACAGATTATCTAGGTTACTTTTATTTTATCTCCTGTGTTTAATATTATCTCTCCAGCCACAGAAGAATCAGGGATAGTGGTCATGATTTGAGAACAGGAGATTTATGAAGAATCCTGGATAGACAAAGCACCGTCCTTCCCAGGCCCTCAAACAAGACTCCTCCCTAGGGTGCTGATACTCTGAGTTTGCCGTGATTGTCTCTAAGTACTCATCCCCTCTTAGTCTCTCACCCAGTATGATTGGTGTTCCCTGACCAGGAAAGAGCGGGCGAGGGGGAAGAGATGCAGTTTCTGCAGCAGACCCATATGAACAAGACAGGCCCACAGGATGTGCAGAAGCTGGCTATGCTCCACCACCCTCACCGTGTAATAACTGATATGACTAACTACTCCATCTCTCTAAAAGGTTCCAAATGGAATAAACACAATCTGACCTATAGGTGCTTGTTGTTAAGACCTGGAGGGGATTAATGGGAAGATTACATCGAAGGACTTCCCGCAGTGTCCCTCCTGGAGGCACCTCTACTGTCTTCTGTTTTCCCAGTCTCTCCTCAGCCCAAACCCCCCTTAGAGAAGAAGGTGATTCTCCCAGTTCTCAATCTGGCCTCCTCAGATCGTCTCTTTAGGAAGTGAAGCCTAATCGCTATCCTTTCATCATGATCCAACTATTAGTCCCCTAGTTAAATCTATTTTTTTTTCTTTGTGTGTATGGGAGTTGTTTATTGTTGTATACTTTTGATATATTTTTGCTCCCTATTTAGGTTACTCTACTAAAAAAACAAAGTGAGGGAGACTCTATCCTGCCTGCTTTCCTGGTCGCTGTGGATGAAGAAGTAAATTGTACCAGACACGATTTGCCTGCCAGGAGAAGGGGGTGGTGATTCTCTCTAGTGGAGGATGCCGCGAACCCTTTCTGAAGTGGCTTTTATTGAGAACTAGACATTGCAGGGGTATACAGCATGAATGCAAAACTTATCAATCTATATCAGAAGGCTAGGGACAATAAATTGAAGAAACACAGAGACCTGTCTTAAATCGGGGGTCTGTCAGACATGCTGGCACCAGATGCTCATTAAGGTATGACTCTGGGGCTCAGGAATTATCCCCTTGCTATGAAGTAAAACACCTGGTTTTTTCCTTACTAGGGCATTGGGAAGCAGAGCAAGCTTCAATAATTATATTGCATTCTTTAGGCCAAATGTCCCAGGGTACCCTCAGTGTTAATATCAGTCCATGCACCTCCCAGCATTCCTGGCTTCCCAGTCAAGGCTTGCAGGCAGGGCCTAACTCAAGTGGGGTTACAATTCCCGATACCACACAAAGTGGTCCCCAACACCTAAGCCTATTGAAAATGTCCAAAGCAAAGCTAAATTATATAAAATGGTGTATATAATAATTGAGCTCACTGATTTTTTTTTATCACAATTACCCTGTAAGCGCTGTGGTTCTCAGACTTTTGTTTACGTAAGAATCATGTGAGAAATTTATTAAAATTTTTAGAAACCCATATTTTGTATGTTTAATTCCTTGAGATTCTTATTCAATGAGTCTAGGATTTACCTACTTTACAGATGAGCAAATGAGGTCTCAAAATATTCAGTGAATTGCCCCAGAGTCATTCCTTTTTTAGAGCAAGGATAATTCCCCTATGTTTGAGCTATTCCACTTACAGCTTTCTTATTTCAGTATTATCAATTGCCCAAAAGATATGAATCCATCTACAATGAATAACATTATATATGATATGGTTTCCATCTGGAGCAATGTGACCCCCTTGATCTTCTGGAAAGTGAAGGGTCAAGATGTAGACACTAAGTTTTCTGAGAGTTGGGTAAGAAACTGACATGGGAGGGAAGATTTGGTGTCCTGTGTAATGTGCTAGTGGTCTCAATCTATAAGCAAAAACCTATTCCACCTCCTCCAGCTTCTGAGAAAAATAACCAGACAAAATCCTAATAGAAATAAATAAGTCAATAACACAAGAAAAACATTTTAGTCTAATGAAGGAGTAGGTAAGTGAGGAGATTCACTGTGGTGTGAACAGAGCAAGGGAGGAGGAATTACACATTTTCCTTTTCAAAGAAAGTTGTATAGACTTCAAATCTGTTGAAACTTTCCCAAAGTTGATCCAGCCTATTTATAAAACCTGTAGAGTTTAAGTTTTCTCCTCCTATTTTCCTCCATTTTTAGAGGAGGTTTTTGTGTCTAACATAACTTTCAATCAGTCTATGCCATCTTACCCTGTTCTCTTTACTACAGAAAATAGGTAGCTAGGATTTTGGCCCCATCCTATTCCTCAGCATAGATGGTATCTTAGTTCTCTCACACTTCAGCAATACCCATTGCATAGTACCCTAAGGCACTGAGGCTTTTCTAAAGCCATTCTTGCTCTTGACATTCCCCTCCCCACCCCCACTGTGACAATAGCTTTTGTCGTTGTCCACAGACCATGGAGATCGTTGACCCTTTGATGGGCCAGGTCATATCTTAGCCCATGTCTTTTTACCAAATTATCAAACTCCAGGAATTATCCACTTTGACAAGGGAGGATGTTGGTTGACTTCATACAAAGCTAAAGACCTGATGTGGTGGGAGTGCTAAAACTGCACTGATGGCCTCCTTTTGAGTCTGGAATATATAATAAGGAGGTAGAGGAAAGGTTTCAGAGTGTCCAGGGTTAGGCAGAGAGATTTGGCTGAGGGAATGGGTCTCCTATTTGAATGGGAGAAGGGGGGATTATTTCTGAACAACGATGCTCCTATAATAAATACATTCATATTGTGTTTTTCTTTATTTCTTTTCTCCCAGTTATCAAATTTCTCCACGTTTCTGTTTACTTCCAATTTATCTATTTTGCCATTTTGTATCCCACTTAGATTATTTACCTCTCTGCCTACCTTTTTTATTTTTTTTTCGGACTATAACATTTGTTCTTTCCTACTTTTCTGTTCTCTCCTTTTTTCTCCCTTATTTTTCACACGTCATTTCTGTATTCTCTATGCATAGTTAATTTTTCTTTTTTGCTAGTGACTTTTCAGGGTTTAATCTGTTCCTGGTTGCCATTCATTAGCTGGATCATTCTCTGGGCCTGTGGCACTCCATGAGTCAGAACTTCATCAGGTACCCCAGGTATATTTATCAGAACCCTAGAACCTTCCATCTTGATGTTGATGATATCCAAAGAATCTATCAAGTATATGGTCTGTTTTCCCTGGAAGGGAGGAGAATCCGAGAAGAAAAATTCACTTGAAGTTTACTACCTTTTCTGCCACCATTAGGAGAAAGATGTTCATCTGAAATGCCCTGATGCTGACACAGAAGAATCATTTATGCCACTGACATTTCAGTGGTTTCATTGGAGGATCAAACAACTCAACACACTAAACCATCCTTGGAGACCACTTGAATTAACCCCTAAAGGATGGAACCTAGTCAGGGCCACTGAGTCAAAACTCAGAACACTTTAGGGTCAAAATAAAGATGGTTTTTAAGAGTAAGATTTTGGTCTTATGATTTGGTATGTCTCAGCATTTGGTATGTTCTACCACTGTGATAAAATGAGAAAGGAGAATATAGTAGAGTGGAGAACTCTAGCAGAGATAGGCATGGAACTCTTGAGTTAACTGAAAAAAATAAAATTAAGAGTAGGCCTTTTAAATACTACATGGGTAGAGTTTGAGGAATGTTATTTATGCTGCATTGAAGATTGCAGCTGTAGAAATCAACTGTCAGGATGGTGGCTTATTCACTCATTAGCTTTGAGTCCTTGGGCAAGTTATTTGACCTCTTTGTGACTCAGTTTAACATTTGTTATGTAATTGTAATAATTTTATCTACTGTCAGGGTACTAAATGATATAATGAAGGTAAAACTCTTTACTCAGTGCTTTGTAATTTTTAGCTATAATTAATATTGTAGTTGAGATATTAGATAAAAGTATATTCTATTAAGTCTATATTGTACTGCCTGGATTTAGAGAGTGAAATCATTGGTGGAGAGTGTGAGATGGGTAGGGCAGCAGTACGTAATCAGACACATATTAGAAGCCACCAGGAGGTGTACAATGTATTAGACCAAAGGCTTTTCCCACTCATCTGGCCATATATAAGCACTTATCTTTCTATTTTAGAATCAAGACAATGGGAAAAATTTTCTGACACAAAGGGTTGTTATGCTTAAGACAATATTCCCCTCGTAATAAAAAACCTAAAATGAGAAAACTGAGTTTTGGAGAGGTAGCTGAAGTAAAAGCATCTGCCTAGGGAAATGAAGTTATTACATGATATACATTAATTCAGAAGTGGGTCAGGAAAGATTTTACCAACAAAGGTATAAAGAAGGGACAAGAGCAAAACACGTAAAAAAATTTCATAAAGAGATTATTTTAATATTGGCATTTTCATTACAAAAACAAAAGAGCTAAAATATTTAGATAAACTGATAAACTTGTTTTTGAAAATACAAATAGTATTTGACAGTGATTTCTGAAAAACTCAAATTATTGTGCATAAAGTGATCATTTTGAGTTCATAGGAACAACGGGAAGAAAGTAGATGAGAGATAAGACAATAAAATTGGTAGGAATCCTTTGAGTTATGGGACGTGACATGACCAGGGTCTCTGTAAGTTGCATAAGTTTCAGAGAAAACCCTGCAGTCACACTCATCTTTACCCCCATCCCACGAGTGGGTGAAGCTAGGAAGCAAATGTCTCGCCATTTTTATATGACACAGGGAAATTCTTTAGAGGGAAACAGCAGAGTCTCTGCATGTTGGCCAAGACTTTGTCAGGCCTGTGCTGCAGTTCAGCTTCCTCTTTGCCCAGTGCTACTCTCTTCTTCATCCTCTCACAGGTGTTAATTTCTGATAAAGACTGAGGCCTTATAAGAACTTTAATGTCATAACTTATGGTCTAACATTTAGGTCTTGCAACTTGAGCTCTGAAGCTGCTTGCAAGGCATGACTTAGCCCATTTGGACTCTAAAACTGCCTGCAGTGTCAGCAGCCCCACTGGGCTGATTGAACTGATTGATAGACCTTATTCCTTGTATTGTTGATAAATAATATTTCCTGGACTATAACTGTGTGATTAAAAAACTAGCCTTTTTTGTTGTTTTTGTTTGTTCTACAGGTCTGTGCGCTGAAACTAGGACTTGATAAATGTTTTATCATATATTATCCATTGTTCTCACCTCACAACCCCACTCACTTGATCACTGAGTCAGCCCAACATTGTAAGACCAGTCAGAAAATGAATGATGTAAGTTTATGGTCTTGTTTCTCCTAGCAACCCATCACTTTGATCACTAGCTCCTTATAATTTTTGCCTTGAAAAAAGGTGCTTATCTCCTCCGTCTAGGAACATATTCTTGTTTCTTACTGAGGGCTATGTTTCCTGACTTACATATCCATTACCTGAATAAACTCTTTTAATTTCTTAAAAGGATCCTCTGGACTTTTGCATACAATAATTTGATATATTTTATTTTTTAAATTTTATTTACTTTTAATGGTTTATTTTTTATTATATTCTTCCATGATCTTATTTTTATATATCAGTACCAAGGACTTAGGAAAAGGTAATTTATATGTTCTATTCCCATTAGCATAAATTAATATCAAACACATACAAATAAATCTAATGTAAAATGTATAATATCTCTTAACAGAAACATATGAAACAGTATTGTGAAAAAATAAAGACCTTCAATAACTGAGGTTTTTGTTCTTAAATTGGAAAATCTGGTAATCTAAAATTTTAACTCTCCCAAAATTGATCTATAGATTCAATTTTATTCTCAATAAAAGTCTCAATATATATATTTTATAGTTTGAAAATAATGAATTCTTTCTAAAGTCTATAAATAAATTCCAAATGGTGGCTAGTTAAGATATAAGCTAAGATAAAGAATGTATTGGGAAGCCATGCTTTATCCTGAGTACTGTGGAAGTAGTGATGTTCCAAATAATAGTTTTTGCCTTTACAGGGCTCAGTATGGAGACTTGAATCTCATTGCTGCTTAATAAATTATTAGTAAACACATAGCTAATGAACAATCCTGTTCATGGAGAAGTGGTAAAGACCTTCTAATATTGTAGAAGGGTTTATTATCACACTTAAGTACCAAAGTCCTATATGAATGTCACTAATGAAGCTGAAATTTTGGTATTCTTCTGGGTTAGGGTAGGAACCATGAGTTCACTCTCATATGATCATTTGAGAAGGGAAAACTAATACATTTGAAAGAAAAGACTGGGTATAGTGGATAAACATAGGGACACATTTATACAATTTCCAAGATCATAATCATATGTTCTTGGCACAGCTGTGGTTAAAGGCTATTTATATTAATTACATCTCGGGAGATCCAGCAGATTGTGACACCAATCCCAAATCTTCTACCCCAGGAGTACTTATAGAGATAGTGAAAGCATTCAAGTCTCATTATTCATGGAATCAAAGGTTTCAGGGCTGAAGTCCATGGAGGATCAAAATTGTAGCATATATAATCAGTTGAAGTTTGATCTCCTAGAGATGGAACTCTCCTCTGGTGAGGAATAAACCAAAGAGAGCAAGAAGTAAAAGCAAAGAAATACAAATAAAAATTAGAAGAAAGAGACAATAGAAGCACTGGAAAAAATAGAGAATTACATGGTGAAAAGACATAAATTTAGGTAAAAAGAAAAGAGAAAGAAATGGCAACCTGAGCAGAATACAAGGATAAAGATGTTGAGAAAGCGAATTAATGAGAGAGAAAAAGAGAGAGACAGAGGGAAAGAGAAACAGAGAGAGAAAGAGAGGCAGAGAGAATATGACCTTACCTACCTACAATGGAGGAAAATTTAAGCATCTCAAGAAAAGTAAAACTGGATTATTTAGGAAATGGACTACCGGTAACATGATAAAGCATTCATATTAATGTAATTGGCTTATGTGTACATTTCAGGTGTTAATTTTTTAATTGCAAATAAATAGTAAGTGGATTTTGGCATAGTTTATGTTAACCTGCAAGGGCTAAAGAACGTAAAATCATCCAAAGAACAATGTAAACTTCTGCAGTAGAGCAAGTGGGTGTCATTCTCCTTAAAGGTAAACAATTTTGAAATGTATGAAATATAATATTCTACTCTAATCTTTTTTTAACAATTTTAAGATGGGTTAATCAGTGGAAGACTGTCAATATAAATTCATCAAAGTTCTTGTCAGAGATTACTAGGTTTGTGTAGTACACACTTTTGTTCCAGAATTTAGTTTTACTGGAAAATGTTTCTTACGTGAGAACCATAGGAAGTACCTCTTTCTTCCTCTGTGAGGTTAGAGGAAAGATGTATTGTATTCTGATTACACTGCTTGTGCTCACAAGGGATAACTCTGAGGGATAAAAAAGAATAACAGAAATTATTCGTCACTCTTTGCCAGGGTGACCATGGTGGTCTGGAATACCAATGATACTATGGAGCCCATATTTATTCTGAAGGGTTTTCCTGGACTGGAGTATGCTCATTCTTGGCTCTCAATTCTATTCTGCTGTGTATTCTTGGGATCATTTATTGGTAATATTACCATTCTGTCTGTCATTTGGATTGAGTCCTCACTCCACCAGCCCATGTATTATTTCCTTTCCATCTTGGCACTAAATGACTTAGGTATGTCCCTGTCTACATTTCCCACTATACTTTCTGTGTTATGGTTAAATACTCGAGAGATTCAGGCAAGTGCTTGCTATGCTCAGCTCTTCTTCATCCACACATTCACATTCCTGGAATCTTCAGTGCTGTTGGCCATGGCCTTCGACCGTTTTGTTGCTATCTGTCGTCCACTTCACTATACCACTATTCTCACGAACAGTGTAATAGGCAAGATTGGTTTGGCCTGCTTGCTAAGAAGCATGGGAGTTGTACTACCCACACCTTTGCTGCTGAGCCAGAACCACTACTGCCATGACAATGTCCTCTCCCATCCTTTCTGTTTGCATCAGGACGTTCTGAAATTATCCTGTTCAGATGTCAGGATCAACAGCATTTATGGACTATGTGTAGTTATTGCCACACTGGGAGTGGATTCAGTCTTTATACTTCTTTCTTACATCCTGATTCTGAATGCTGTGCTGAGCATTGCATCTGGTGAAGAGAGGCTAAAAGCACTCAACACATGTGTATCCCACATCTGTGTGGTGCTCATCTTTTTTGTGCCAGTTATTGGAGTGTCAATGACCCATCGCTTTGGGAAGCATCTGTCTCCTGTAGTCCACATCCTCATGGCCAACATCTACCTGCTCTTTCCCCCAGTGCTTAACCCTATTGTCTACAGTGTCAGGACAAAACAGATACGACTAGGAATTCTCCACAACTTTGGGCTAAGGAGGAGGCTTTAAGAAACTCTATCCTCCAGTTTTTCAATGGAAAAGTCTTGAGGCAGCTGCTGGAGTTGATGAGAAGTAAAATATTTGGGGCTTAAGCATCTGTTTAAATTCCTAATTCTTTCACTTCCTAGATATATGACCTCAGTTAACCATCAGTCTTTATGAGATGCAGGTTTTTCAGAACCAAATTGTGGTAAGCGTGGTCTTTTCTATCCCCAAAATAATTATGAAACTTATAATAGATACTGTACATAAAAGATATTGTTTTTGAAAACTGGAAAATTTGTTATTAAATTATTATAAATAATAGAAATAATTTTCTTTATGAAATATAATTATGTTTATATAGTTTCTCATGTTTATGATCTAAAACTCAGAAATCAATCTTTCTCTCTTTCTAATATGTTTGCTCATATTGTGTTTCTCCTGCCAAAATGTTGTAACTGTTTATGAAAATATTTCTGATTTCTTGGGGCAGGTTTGGAACTTGAGTTCCTGGCAGAACTTTGAACTGCCCCTTTTGCTACTGACTATGGACTAAATCTTCATCTCATCACTGAGCAATGATGTCCTGCCTCCCACTGCCACTATAGACCTATCCGTTCTTTTAAGTTACCAGTGAATACTGAGACAGAAACATGCAAGTGGCTCAAGAAAGCCTGGCATTGCAGTTCTGAACATCTGGGCAAATTGTAGATTCCCTGTTCACTACTACAGGACAGGATTTGACATCTTAATTTGTGAGTGGGTTGGGAGTTTGGCACAATAACCACCCTCATAATATTTCTAATAATATTTTCTCCTCTTGTTCTATATGCCTGTGTGGATCTTTAATATTGTGTCTTTCTCAGTTTCTTTATTGTAGATAGCACATTACTTTCTTCTTCTTCATTAAGATGACTCACATGTGTGCTTTTATTGTTGATATTTTATTATTTCATATTTATTCATGGGATTATGGGCTGCTGCACTAATACATCACTGTGAGGCTGGTCTCACCTAACTGTCATAAGTATTCATTAAACAGTTTTAAGTGTATATCCTGTTGCATATTTACTCACCCTGTAAAACTACACTGAGAAACATGAAATACTGGTTGTAACAATTATTGCTTTCAATAGTGTGGATATATACAGAACAGAAGGCATGGTCTTAATGTTTAAAATTAATGTTTAATAGTGTAAATACATACATATAAAGATTAGTAAAATTACTAGATGCTAGCATTGATATAGGTAAATAGCACAATATCCCTATTAAAGAGTGGTAAATTTTAATTGAAGATTTAGAAATCAGGAATTAAGGTAGTTGACATTTTAGCTGTACCTTGTGGCTCAAATTCATTGTTACCAAATAGACAAAGTGTGAAAGAAATCGGCGTGCTGAAGTTGACTTGTACTGGCTTATGAAAGCCAATTGTTTAATCCTGTTCCAACTCCACATTCTGTGATGTCACATTGATAGTTTGAAATTGGTCATGATAGTAGTATTTCCAAAACAGAAATTGATAAACAGTAAATTCCAGCCAAGGCTTTAACATTCTTTCCTTGAGAGTTGGTTTTTAAGCATTTATCAGCACACCACTGGACAAGGTATTCCAGGAAAAAAGAGATAGCTTGAAGAAAACAGTGTAGAAAGTACATGTGTTAGTAACACTCTCCAATCTCCAGGAGAAATTTAAGACTTGCCCAAACTGTCTCACACTATCTGAAAAGAGAAAGGACTCTGAAGTGGATTGTGATCGACATGCACTGCCCAGATCATACTCCAATGAAGATCTTGTGAAAAAGGTGAATGGGCTAAGTACAAATTGGTAGTTACAAAATAGTCATGGGGATGTAAAGCATAGCATAAGGAATATAGTCAATAATATTGTAATTGACTATGTATGGTGCCTGGTGGGTACTGGAAATATAATGGGGAACACTCTTAAATATTTCGTTGTCCAACCACTATGCTGTATACCTGAAACTAATACAAAATAATAAATGAATGTAAACCGTAATTTAAAAAAATTTAAAGTTCTTTTTAGAAAAAAAGAAAGAACTTGCAGCCTAAGCTCCTGTGACTTTATTATCTGTTATGGGATACAAGTAATGCTTTGCCTCATAAAAATCATTAAGAAGTGATTCCTTTCTTAATATAAATCCATATGTAGGGTTTCTGTTATTCTTTCAGAAATTAAATGTTTTAAATAATTCATTAAAGATGCTATCTGGGTCTGGGGTTTTCTTTCTGTAACTTTTTTTCCACTTTTAAAAAAAATATATTTTGTTGATTATGCTATCACACTTGTCCCATTTTTTTCTCCCCTTATTCCTCTCTACGCTGTACCACAGGAATCCGCCCCCCACCCTTAGTACATGTCCATGGGTCATGCATGCAAGGTCTTTGGCTTCTCCATTTCCTATACTATTCTTAACCTCCCCCAGCCTATTTTGTACCTACTATTTATGCTTCTTCTTCCCTGTACATTTTCCACCATTCTCCCCTACTCCCTCCCCTCTGATCTACATTTCTGTGATTCTGTTCCTGTTCTAGTTGTTTGCTTAATTTCTTTTTGTTCTTGTTTTTTAGGTTCAGTTGTTGATAGTTGTGAGTTTGTTGTCATTTTACTCTTCATAGCTTTTGATCTTCTTTTCTTGGATAAGTCCCTTTAAAATTTTGTATGATAAGGGCTTGGTGATGATGAACTCCTGGGAAGTACTTTATCTGTCCTTCCATTCTAAATGATAACTTTGCTGGATAGAGTAATCTTAGATATAGGTCCTTGCCTCTTGTGACTTTGAATACTTCTTGCCAGCCCCGGCTTGCGTGCAAGGTTTCTTTTGAGAAACCATCTGATAGTCTTATGGGAACTCCTTTGTAGGTAACTGTCTCCTTTTCTCTTGCTGCTTTTAAGATTCTCTCCTTATCTCTAATCTTGGGTGATGTAATTATGATGTGCCTTGGTGTGTGCTTCCTTGGGTCTCACTTCTTTGGGATTCTCTGAGTTTCCCAGATCTCCTGGAAGTCTATTTCCTTGGCCAGGTTGGGGAAGTTCTCTTATTTTTTCAAATAAGTTTTCAATTTCTTGCTCTTCCTCTTCTCCTTCTGGCTTCCCTATGTTTCAGATGTTGGAATGTTTATAGTTGTCCCAGAGGTTCCTAAGTCTCTCCTCATTTTTTTGAATTCTTGTTTCTTCATTCTGTTCTGGTTGAATGTTCATCTCTTCCTTCTGCTCTCAATTGTTGATTTGAATCCCAGTTTTCTTCCCTTTATGGTTGGTTTCCTGTATATTTTTCTTTATTCTACTTTGCATAGCCTTCACTTTTTCCTCCATTTGGTGACCATAATCAACCAATACTGTGAGCATCCTGATTACCAGTGTTTTGAACTGGTAACCTGATAGGTTGGCTATCTCTTCATCACTTAGTTCTATTTTTGGAACTTTGATCTGTTCTTTCATTTGAGGCATATTTCTTTGTTTCAGCATGCCTGTTATGTTGGGAGGAGTGGAGCCTTAAGTATTCACCAGGGTGGGGCAATGCAGGAGGCTGTGTTGTGATGCTATAGATGGTGGAGGGGTCTGAGAAGGAACAGTGCCACTTGCTCAGCTCTTGGCCTGCTTTCAGGCCAAGACTACTTTCTTTGCTCCCTATAAGTGAATTGGGCCCTTCTGATGCTGATTCCTGGGTGGATGGGCTTGTGTATATTCTAGGACCCCATGGGCCTCTCCAACAAACTCTCCTTAGAGGCTGGGAGTTTATCTTGCTGCCATATCCCCCACAAGATTTTTTTTTTATGTTCTTTTTTTTCTTTAAATCATGTTTATTTTATTACAGTTGTCTCAATTTTTCCCCCTTTGCCCTCCTCCACCCACCCCACCTCGTCCCCCTCTCCCACAGTCAATTCCCACTCTGTTGTCCATGCCCATGGGTCATTCATACATGTTCTTTATTTAGTTCCTTCTCCTTCTTTCTACCATTGTTCCCCCTCCCCATCCCCTCTGGTCACTTTCAGTCTACTCCATATTTCCTTCCCTGTGGTTTATTTTATTCATTAGCTTATTTTGTTGAATAGATTCCACTTATAGGTGAGACTCTGTGGCATTTATCTTTCACTGAGTGGCTTATTTCACTTAGCATAATGTTCTCTAGTTCCCCTCATGTTGTCCTAAAAGGTAGGAGTTTTTTCCTTTCTTTTTCTTTTTTATTAAATGCAGATTGATTTTATTTATGTATTTTTTTAAATGTCAAGATCCATTATAAAATATTAAAAAATATAAATCCATTATAAAGTCTCAGCAATTAAAACTATGTGACACCAGCACAGAAATAATCAAGTAAATCAATTAAATATAATGAACATTCTAGAAACAAATGTATATATCTTTCTAACAATGTAATATGTGATTAAGTTGATATTTCAGATCAATGGGGAAAATAAGGCTTATTCAACAAATAAGGTCCATGGGACACTATTACTTGAAATAAAACAAATATAGAGCCTTATTTCATGCATTACACAAGACAGATTCAGGTGAGTTAAAAATGAATATGTAAAATCTAAGGAGTTTTTGGAGAAAATATAAAATATTATTTTTCTTACCCTAAAGTAACATATTCAAACCCAGAAGGTATAAAGTAAAATATTGAAAATATGACTATTAAACATTTAAGACTGTACAGTAATATACATATTAAAAAAGTTAAAGGACAAGTAATAGAATAGGAAAGTATTTGCAAAACATCTAAAAAATGGTTAATAGTTTTTGGGGGGTTTTATAGGGAAAAAAATCTACAAACATTTATTCAAAAGCTGGGTAAAGAATACCAAAAAATCATTTAAAACTTTTTAAAAAAATAATAGAAATAGGCAAGAAATCTACAAAAACAAATTTAGTTTCAACAAGTAATAAAGGAACAATTAAAATAACATATCCTTGTCACAATCAGATTAATAAGTATTAAAAATATTGGTAATATCAAGTATTGGTGACTGTGAAAGGAACTGGGTATTAATAGATTTTT